TTATTTTTAAATATTTATTTTTTTATTTGATGAGTGTTAACATGTTTAATGTTTTAACATCTTCATTGTTTTCCTTTTTAGGAACATCCATGGTTGAAATATATGCAACACCATCTGTGACTGCACCAGTACAGTCAACTTCTAAAGCATCAGAATCACTGAACAACATAACACAAGCAACGCCTATTACTACAGCACAAGCAAATAAAACAACCGAAACAACACATGTACCTACAAATACAACTGAAACAACACATGTACCTACAAATACAACCTCACATGCACCCTTCAATACCACAACACAGCCAGCAACGCATACTACACCAGTTCTACCAACAAAGCCCTCACCACCACCAAGTGGACACTATACAGTGAAGGATAGTAACAAGACATGTATAATTGCAGACATGGGTCTGGCACTTGAACTTAGTAATTCAACAACATTAATGCAAGCTAGAGAATCAAAGGTATGCCTCTTCTTAGTATTGTGGGATGCCATGTCTTATAAACAAAACCTGACCAGTGTCCCTTTACCTCCAGCAGAAGCACAGCTAATGTTAAAAGATATAAAGTAGAACTCTGGGCTAATAAAAACAAAATGCCCCCCCCCCCCAACATGTGAAGGCTATAATGCTTATTTTGTCTAGAGTAGGTTCTAATGCTGAACCTTACATGGTGACCTCAGCACTGCTTTCGGCACTGCGATAAAGGGCACTGTGGTGATGCCCCTTGGTGAGTAGGAGCCATGATGCCCATTCATTCATCGTATATCCTCAGTCTTCTGGGTTGTATGACACCCAGTGAAGTCTGAGAACATCCTGTGGCCAAAGAGACATGCTCTGGGGGACTGCTTTGGATTGAGTATTACAGCTTCAGCTGTTATTCATTTCTAGCCTGCCTGGAGGCCCATCTAAATAAAAAATAAATTAAGCAATATGTCTGGTACTTTAAAGCACCCAAGTCAGCCCCAGGGGGAAAGAAGACTCCTTGGGCAAACTAAGGAGCTATTCTGGCCCTGCCCTGCCCTACTCTGCAAAAAACTAAGAAGTGTTTTATGTTAGTGATTTTCTTTGACAACTGTTCCTGATATGTTGTCTAATTTTTTGGTTCCTAAATGCATTTTTAACCTCATTTAAATAACTCTGGTCAATTGACTAATCCTTCTACCTATAACATGATAAAGGATAGACTATGGTTCCACTATATATTTCAGTAGGCTGTGTGTTGTAGAGCTAAAATGAATTATTTGTCATCTATAAATAGGTGCACCATTATCAGCCTTAGAGCATTCAGGGTATAAATCATTAATCACTATTCTCTTAATCCAGTCCTTAAAAGACTACTATGGGTTAAGTGTTTTTCCCCATAGTTCTCTTAAGGGTCATGGGAGGATATATACTAGCGTCCTCCCATGACCCACAGCTCAGTATACCGCAAGCTCTAGCTCGTAGTATACTGAGACCAACGCAGCCAGGACGGATCCCGGCAATTCTGTTGAGATCCACCCAGCTGCGTGAATGACAGCTGGCTCTGCCTATCTAGAGGCAGAGCCAGCTGTACCCACCCCTCCCGTGTCCATTGCTCCAGTCAGCGCTGGAGGATCGGAGAGGGGGGATCCCTGCAGGGAGCGGTGACTGACAGTAACCGCTCTCTGCAGAGAGATGATTGAGAAGTGAGCGAGAGACGGTATGCGTTCGCTCACTTCCCGAACTATTGAGCCGATGTGAGACAGTTTAATTGTCACACGTTGGCTCGAACTATGAGGCTGAGTGATTTTCACTCACCTCATAGTTCTCCTTTAAGCAATTTTTCTATCCATTTACAGACTGAATTTTCTAAGCCTCTGGACCCTATATTACATATTAGCCATCTGTGGAGAATTGTGTCAAATGCTTTTAAAAACTATACTATATCTGCAGCCACTCCTTTGTCTAGGTTTTGGCTTACTTTCTCATAAGAAGATTAGTTTGACAACTTTGGTCATACGTAAATCCATGCTGACCCTCAACTCAATGAAAACTCTCAAGCATCTTCCCGACTATAGAAGTAATATTTGCAGGCTTGTAGTTACTTGTAAAGGTTTTGTTTCCTTTTAAATATAGGTTCCACATTGGCCTTGTGCCTATCCATTGGTACCAAGCCATTAAAGATTCTCTAAAAATTAGAAACAATGGCTTTAAAAAAAAAAAAGCTCAACTCTTTGAGGACACATAGATGTAAGGCACCTGGTCTATGTACTTTATTCACAATTCTTTTGTCTGTTTCTTGATCATATCCATTTTTATGAGCCATTGGGGTTCATTTGAGGTTGTGGCAATACTATCCACATTATGGGCTTGAGTTCCTTCATTTTCCTTTATATACAAAGAGCTGAAGAAGGTAGTTCATAGATTTGCCTTCTCTTTGTCCCCTGTCACCAAGTCTGAGCTTACATGTTCAGGCATAAATTGTTTACTATGAATATATTTTTTTCTGACTTTTTGTAGCAACTTGTCACTTGTTTTAAATGTTTATGATCTTGATTCCCCTTGCTCATATTTTGGTATATTCTTTGTAACTTTCAAATAATGAAAGCATTCTTTTATTTTTTCAAGTGCTCTTTTCTTATTCTTTATGGCTTTTTAACATTGGATGTGGGCCACTCAGGTTTTTACTTTTAGCCTTTTAATCTTAGTGCCCATGGGAATCAATTTTGCAGGATGTTTGCATACATTTTAACTACAAGCACTAAGTAAAATATATTTTCATAAGAGCATATTGAGAGCTTCATTAGAAACCCTTACTGACTTTATTATTTATTGTAAGGACAAATGTGGTAATATTTTGCTAGTTTACAGAAGCTGTCATGCACTTTTCTACAGGCCAAATGGTATTTTAATGTGAACTCAAAAGAAACTCATGCAAGTGGCACTTGTGGGGACACCAAAGCAAATCTCAAGCTGCAATTTCCAGAAGGATCTATACATTTTGTTTTTGTCAAGGTATGTTTATGCATAAAGCTGAACTCTGGGCAGATATAAAGGACACAATTTATTCCAGTTGTGCATTTATTAAACATCATTAAAGTACACTTGTTCACTTGTCATAAGAAAAAACCTGGATGTTATGTTGACCTTCAGATGGAGGTTTCAGCAGTGACAGTCCCCATGTTCCCTTATCCGAGATTTCTTTTAAGTGTGTTTTACCTAGAATTAACAAAAGAACCCAAATCTCTAGAACAAAGGGCTGGTATAAAGAAGAATTCCCTTTGCAAAGTGCTGTAAGTCTAAAGCTGGGCATACATTGTAATATTTTCTTTATTCAAGCTGTGGGCTGAATGAAGAAAATATTAGATTCCTTCATCAATGCTTACAAGTGTTGATCGAGGAATCTCTCGCTGTGTTGTATGGCAGCTGCTGTCAGAATACTCGAACAGAGCTCTCAACTACTTGTGGAAATAAACTGGGGTAAAAATGCTACACCTTGTCAAGATAAAAAATAAGCCTCAGGGCAATTTAGAAGCTTTGAAAGGCAACTTACAGATATCTTGTCGCCAGAAAACTGAAGTTTGCTAATTGCTGGCCTGCAAACTCTCACACGCCAGTAACATATGAATGGCAATGAATATTAAAACTTTAAATCTTGTGTTGTGAAATAGAAGAGGTAAAATAGGTCAGATTTGGATGGCAGCAAATATTCATAATTTCAATGCTGCAGATAACAATGCAAATGGGGCCTGAAATGTAATTAATCCTATTCTGTTTAAAACTTCCATTATTTACAACATATACTGTACATTACAATATATATAAATTACAATACCTGTAATTTTGAAGAAAAGATAAGTCTGAGGAAACAATAGTACTGTAGAAATAATGGCATGGATGAGCCAGTGGTACTAGCTATCGGACTTATCATTCACAAGGCTCTCAAAGATCTTGGTTGTTGACAGATTTATGCAAGAATTCTCAGGTGAACATTTCTCAATGTTCTGGTGTTGAAATGATCTCAGCTATATGCTAACCATTAACCTAATATTGCTGATAAGAGCTCTCGTTTCCTGCGTTAAGTTACCACTTCACTTTTCTGATGATCACATGCAACTGATTTCCAGTCACACACAAGGAATTTGTTGTAATGAATGTTAAACCACTGACTACAGAATGCCAGAATGAAGAAGCATTATAGACAAATCAGTTTACAAGAGTGCATGCAAAACTAAATCAAAAATCAATTTTACACTAGTGTAACTAAACTGTTATATTCAGAGATGTTATTATAATTCATGGCCAGTTATTCATAAGTGTAATGAATACAAGTTATAAAAATATTACGTGACATAACTCTGTTATTATACTAAGGGGGCTGATTTATAAATATATTACCCAGTGTATACCTGGGCGTAGGCTACTCGCATGGCACTAGATGGAGCTGAAGAACATTGGAATTTCCATCTAGTGGCACTAGTGCTATGCCAACATTTATAAATCACCCCTTAAGGGTATGTGGCCATTGAGAATCTGCACAGCTTCACAAATGAAAAGGTTGACAAGAGGAAGAGTCATCCATATGCTCAGTATAGTATCAGAAAGGAGGGTGAATGTCAAACTGTCACAAAGTCTCTCTTGCCCATTAGTAGCCATGTAGACCACATTCACTTTGATTTCAGATTTTTACAGGGCTGGACTAATTAATATGGAATCTAGGAGCCAGTCTGACCAATCCAGCAGCCAGCAGGATTCTTTTTAGGAGCCAGCTCCATTGACAACAACCTCAGAAGTTAGGCACCAGCTGTAATTTTTAAGGAGCATTGGCTACCTGGCTCCTGGGATTTGTCCAGCCCTGGATGTTTAGGACTTAATTACTGATCACTCATAAGCATATCTGCTTGACTTCAGAAATAAGCTAAATGATCTAGGAAGGTCAGCCACATTTGACACAATCTTGTTTAAAAAAAATTTCTGTTGTTTTAAACAGTTATCACATAATGGCTAACATTCAATTCTAAACTAATGCTGGCTATGTCAAGTGTGACCACATATATGGATTGCCAAAGTGGAGAGGTTAAGGTCAGCCATTCTCCAAGTTGTTGAACCACTAAATATCAGACAAGAGCTTACACCTTTCGGTTACCAGTATGTGGTAGCAGATATATAATATTGTTCCTGTAAATGTCCTAAACCTGATAATGATTATTTTAAGAAGTCTAGAATATGCTTCTTATGGATGTCTATTTTTATTATACAACCTATAGGAGAGCAAAATCTACTACATTGATGAAATCTCTGTGAATTTTTCTTGGAGTTCAGGTAGGTCATAGCAGTAGTACTACGTGCCTGTATGTGTGATAATTGCTAAATAACCATAGGGTTATACTTTTGATTGATACCACTATAGCAAAAGCCCCACATTACATTATTTTTACCTCCTCTAAACTTCCACTGGGTTTTTTTTCAATAAAAATAAATTTTTTTATTATTTTGAAATCAACCCTGTGATTTGCCCATTCAAGAAAAAACAACTGGAGTTTCATTTTAGGAGAAACTGAAGTCTAGTAGCTGTACCCCCCCAAAAAAACAGGCAGAGAGCATAAGACTAGTCACCAGCATTGTCTGTGTTCTCTTTGCAGCTGACCTTTCCACAGTACTGACTTGCCATGGCTTGTTCTCTACTGTGTCTGTGTAGAGGCAGCCATCTTGATGTCAGAGCTTACAGCGAGGAGAACAATGAGCAGCATAGTAGTGATGTAATCAAATCTCATGAAATTAGCAATCAGAGGCATTAATGCCTTAACCTCACACTGCATATGTACAGCTTTGAGACTGTATGCACAGGAGTGCCTAGGTCCCCCTAAATACCTGGAGATTCACTGCCATTTTTACTGAGGAGTTTCAGACAGTCTGCATTTGAGGCAAGAAAATACTGACATATAAGCCATGGTACAGCAGCTTATAGCCATTGAGGCCTTAAAGTGATATTAACCTAGCAATGAATAGAATAAAACATATGGCGTACCATCATTGTTATCTCTGCCCCTTCTATGTGCAGCGTTGGTCAACATACTTCTAAAATCACAGTTTGATTCTGCACAGCTCACACTTCCTTTGTTAGGGCGGCTATGTTCGCTCTCCATAGACTTAGTGTATGTGGCAAAACAGCCACCCTTGGCACGCTCACATCATGGACTTATCTGTGCCACAGGCTTGAAGGATGGACTGGCTGAAATAAAATAGGCACAGCGGAGATGGTGGCTGAAAAGAGTGATAGGATTTGTGGTTTCTTTTGGGCAATGCTCGTGACCGCAAGTTATGTGTACTGTTCGTACACATTAGCCAGACGTGAACAGAAAGGAGCCTATGTTGCGGCCGTGTAGGCAGAAGAATGAAAAACGATGAAACATGTAAGACAACATTCTCGGAATAGAGTGTTGTCTTACATGTTCTCATTCTTACACACAACCTCACCCTTACATTTCTGCCTAGCATGTTCCATTGTGATGTTGATTTCAGCACTAGTTTTCACTCCTGTGTCCTGTTGATGATCCTAAAGCTGAAGACTGACTGTTATTGCATCTTCACCATCTACTATCTAAAGCTATCAGAATTTCCTCTTTGCCCTTAGAACACTGGAACGGTACAGATGGAAAGCTGAAGTTGTTAAGTACAGACGTTGGTTACGCAGTAAAATGTAAGAACACACCAACAGTAAAGATGGCCAGTAATTTACAGCTCACAATGGCGGACGTGACCCTACAGGCTTTCGACATTCGCAATGATACCCGTGGCAAAGGTAAGCACTAAATGCTGCAGTTTGTTATGACAGTGAATGTTATTGTGCATACCTCACAACTTTCTGAGATGAAAAAGAGGGACACCTTCCAGCACAATGTATTTAGGCAATTGACACATCCCATGGTGAATTTATAAGCCAAAAATGAAAAAATTCTGGTTAAACCCAGAATTGTTTTTTTCTCACCATTACCTTTCCTTTATACTGGCTTTTTGAAATAGTAAACAAGGTAATTAAGAGATCAGATAAAGGTTTTAGTGAAGAATAACCTTTTAGTAGTTAAATAGAACCTTTTCATAGATATCTGTACATAAGACCAAAAAGAGGAACCACTGAGGAGGAAAGACGGACAGAGGGATTTAGTTCCAAATAGGGGACAGTTGCAAGGATAAGATTGCAGTATTTTTATTACAATTTTAGGAACTTAATTTTCCTCTGAACTAATGAAATATAATTTTTGGTATTGAGTATGAGTACTGATACTTTGTTTTCGGTACTCGACGATACTGAATATCGATACCCTTCGGCCTCGTGCACACCTGCACGTTTTACCGCCCGTTCGATCGCGTGGTAAAACGCCATACGCCCAAAGAAGTACATGAGCTTCTTTGGGGCGTATTAACGCCCGTATCACGCTGTTATCAGCCGGATACCCCCTCGGAAACTCGCGTTTGACATGCGTTTCTTTTACCGCAAAACGCGCGACAAACGTGAGTTTCCAATACGCTAAGGTGTGAACCCAGTGTAAGTCCCATTAAGGAACCTGGGCAGCATGTAATAACTCGCCCCCTGGCATCCTGATTAGCCGGAAAGTCATCTCCATGCTCCCTCGTCACCAGATGACGAGGAAGCATGGAGTCGGCTTTCTGACCAATTAGGAAGCCGGAGGGGGGGTAATGACTCACCGCCTGGCTTCCTGATTGGCCATTTCCCGACCAATTAGGAAGTCAGGCGGCAAATCATTACACGGTGCCCAGCTTCCTGATTGGCTGGGAAGCCGGCTCCATGCCACCACATCACAAGGTGACGAGGAAGAAGGGAGGCGGCTTTCTGGCAAATCAGGAAGCAGGGGGGATGGTAATGACTCGCTGTCCGGCTTCCTGATACCGGATGTCCTGGTATCGGGATAAGCATTGGGAGCAGTTGGGCGAGTACGAGTACTTGTCCAAATACTTGGTATCGGCACTGATACCGATACTAGTATCGGTGTATTTCTAATATACTTTGTATACAATGGATATAGAGAAGAATTACCCCCCCAGCCTCCTCCAAAATAATCACATTTTGTTGCTTTGCAGCCTGAAATGAAGACAGACACAGTTTTTATTTTATCCAGCTGTATTTACTGTGCAACTTATAACATCCAAGTAAAAAAAGTGGCGTCAAAAGAGGGATGCGGGGGGTGCGGCCCGCACCCGAGTAATAGTCATTTTGGTGTCACCCCTTCCCCCCCCCCCGGGTGACACCCGGCATCGGAACGCCCTTGAGTGAAAGATATAACACCAACATTTTAATTTTTTTTTTACAAAATTACTGAGTTGGAAAAAGAATCACCCCCTCCTAAAAATGAATTGTAAACTCAATCAGGTGTAGCTAATCATCTTCTCAATGGCACACAAAGCCATTTGACTTTCAACGGCGTATCTGCCGTAAGGCAAACAAGGCGTTTGTCTTGGGCGGCACTTTCCAGGGGGACGGCAAAAATGCTGCCCCCAAAACAGTCAGGCAACCCGGGCTGCACAGAACTTGGCAGCCTCAGCTGCCCAATCTAGAGTTAAAAAAATAAAGTTTAAGAAAATAAAGTTAAAAAAACTAAAATGAATTTTTTTAAAAAAAGTTTAAAAAAGTGAAATAAATAAAAAGTAAAAATGCAAAAACATAAAAAATCTGACTACAATGTGTGCACTGTATCCAGCGACTAACAGGTTACGCAAAAAGTCAAAAACAGAAAAGGG